CAGGGCCAGTCTGGGCTACATTGTGAATTCAACCAGGAGATACAGCGTAGTGTGGGAGCCCTGGCTTTCATCTGCAGTATTGAAGAGAAAAAAATTAACTAAAGTCTTGAGATTTAGTTCTCTATCTTGACCTAATGGTTCTTAAATAATCCACTAAGCTTTATGTTTGATTTATGTGGTTTTTCTGTGTGTGCATTTTTTTTTTTATTTATTATACTGGGAATCGAACTTGTTCTCCCTAACCTCGTCTTTATTCCTGGGTCTTCCCGCTCCTTCTAGAATGGGTTTCTCTCCGCGTTGCCTTACTTTGGCAGTTGGCTGTGTATGATCCTGTCCGGGCAGGCGGCTGACAGCTTAAGGGCAAAATGGAATTTTTCAACTCTGTGTGTTCGTAGATCCTTCACGCTTGTCGGTAAGTGGGGTTTGTGGTTACTCGGGGTAGGGATTGCGCTCCCCTCCCGCCTGTGTCACCCAGGAAGCCTTCCCTGCTCCGCAGCACGTGTGCGATTTCCCAGAAGGCAGCCTGTCCTGAGGGCCCCCTTCACCACAGATGCCACTTGCAAGTCCTGGGGGTGGCCCGTCCTCTGAGCAGCTCCCCCACCCCCAGCCCCGAGCAGGTAGAGCGGCTCCAGGAGCTGCAGCAGACGCTGCTCGGCCTCTGGTCTCTTATGAGGGAGGGCATGAAGGGCCTGGGCACAGCCAGGCAGAAGAGGGGCTCGGCACAGGCTGGGGCAGGCTTGGCAGGATCCCGGGACCCCGCTGGCCGGCCCCTGAGTGTGCCTGCTGGGGAGGGCCTGGCAAAGCTCCCCTGGCTTTGGGATTGTTGTGGAGGCTTCTCCATGCTGGCGCTCTGCTTTCTGAACCTTCCCAGAGATGAGGAGATTGGGGCGGGGGAGAGCCGCAGCCGCTGGTCGTAGCCTGGCCTCTCTGCCAGCTCTGCTGTGTGGACGCCCCCTTGGTGCCACCAGTCATCTCTTAGCGAAACAAAAAGTTTTTATCTCACCAGAAAGTCCAGGTATCCAAGGAACTGTGCCAAGAATCAGGGACAGAGGCCAAATCCACAGCTCTCCTTCTGCCATAGTATCCCAGCAGTTCGAGGAAAACTTACAGCAGTGGGCCAGGCGTGGTGGCCACGCCCGTAGTCCCAGCACTGGGAGGCTGAGGCAGGAGGATCGCTGCGAGTTCAAGACTAGCCTGGGCTACAGTGTGAGCTCAAGACCAGCCTGAGCTGCATAGCGAGACCCTGTCTCCAAAGGAAAAGGAAACAAATGAAATGACAC